AGGGGGAGGAAGAGAGAGAGAGGAAGAGGGAGAGGGGAGGGGGTAATGGAAAGGAGGGGAGGGCAGGGGAGGAGAGGATAGGAATAGAAAGAGAGGAGAGAAGAAAAGAAGGGAAAAGGAGGGATGAAGAGAGAAAAAAAGAGAGAGATAGGAGAAGGGGGACTTCAGGAAGAACAACCTTTCCAGGGAACAACCCATTTACCCAGCTCCTCCATCCATACCCAACCTCTCTACAGTTACCACCCAATCTACTGTCAGTTTACTGATCTTGTAATCCAATCATTTCTTCTCAGAATGTTTCTTCATTAACAGAGCTTCTGGGGACACCTTGTATTCAAAACATAGCAGCATAGTTTTAATTCCCTTTGTATATGTAACAGTGGAAATGGGAGGTCTCATGGTAACTTCATGTTTAATAGTTTAAAGAACTGAAAAGCTGTTTTCAAAAAAGGCTGTACATCTCACGAACCTGTCAGTAGAACATAAGGATTCCAGTTTCTCCTCATCCTCATCAATGCTTGTTGTTTCTGACATTTTGAGTCCACTCAGTGTTTGTAAAGAAGCATCTTATTGTGGTTTTCTTTTGCATTTCCCTAATGACTCAAAATGTAGGTCATCTTTTTGCATCCACTTTGACAATTTTCATCCGTGCTTAGAGAAGAGTTCATTCAGGTCTGTTGTCTCTTTTTAGTTTTTACTGGTGAGTGGGAAAATGTCATCACTGAATTATTATTGAAAATATTATGATAGTGAAAATATTATTCTTTTGTTGAATTTGCTCCTATATGTCTTATTATTTTTGATACTACTAAAACCAGAATCACTTACGTTGATTTTCACATCCTTACACTTTCACTTGTCAAGCATCCTCAGAGCTACCTCAATTATCTGAGTATATTAAATCTTTACTTTTTATTATTTATTTATTTTCCAAATAATACACAGGCTTGAATTTATGGCATGCTCATCCCCTTCGGGCTTTCACGGTGTTTAATGCCAGAGCCAACTGTGCCTCTGAAGCATTGCTTGGTTTTTGTACCCACAGGCTGCTGGCAGTGAAGTGGGTTGCACAGTGGGAGAAAAAAAGAAAGAAAACAATAAAATAGAATAAACATAAAAATACCCTCACAATAGTTTCAAGTGCATGGTCATAGCATTAAAAATTGGTTGTAAAAAAAAATAAGAGAAATCAATGACAAAAAGAAATTAGGAAATCATGCTAAGCAAATTAGTGGACAAAGCAGAAAGATTTTATTGAACATCTTCTGTATGTTAAACACGGTATTTAAAAAAAAATGACTTTAAGAGTTTACCATCTGTTTATACAGAAAACACAGAAGACACCTACATGTATTCAAATTAGAAGAATTTATATAATCACAGTAAATTATTTTATAGCACAAATATCACTTTATAAGTGCAGAGAAGAGACCACTTAATGTGTTATGAAATATAACTAAGACTTTGGAAGAAAACAGAGCTTGAAGCAGCAGTGGAAACAGCAGGGATGCTAGTCTGATTGAATAAAATGGATGAGGCCTGGATGCAAGAAGTGTCTCGTAGATCTCTGCAAACTGGAAGCTTCACCATTTGATAGGAACAAAAATAGTAAATAATCAAACCAGGACCTAGTACTGTACAGCTGAAGCAGTGTGTCTCAGCAAGACGGTGAAAATGTGCTGGGTACACGTAGCTAATTCTCTGTGTTCTGGAGAAATGGGAAGAGTGGGAAGGCCCAGGGAGCTTCATTAGCACATCAGGCCAAAAAGCAAGAGAAGGGTCGCAGTGCAAATGGAGAGTGGTGTATACAATGTGAAGATTTCAACCTTAACAAGGAGGACTTTGATGAAGACACACTGAGCTAACTTACGAGTTGACTATTTGTTCAGAACTTAGGAAGCAGTGACACATTTCTTAAAATACTGCAGAGTTAAGACAGCAATGGCATGAAAGCCTTTTCAACATAAGTACGAAAACTTCTGCAATCAGTTCTTGGAAGTGTCTCCATGGTGATCATCATCTCTAGGACCTTGTTTCTATCATGGAGGGTTCTGAAAGAATGAAACCTGAGATAAGCAGCAGTGATGTCTTTTGTTTTGACTAAAGAATTTATAAAAGTTTCTTCCTTACTTTGCAGTGGTGAAATTATTTTTATTTTTTCTTTTTTTAAAGTAAAAAAAAAAAAAAGGTGTATTCTCAAGAGAAGCGGGCCATTTATTTTCCAAAGTAAAAGAATTGGTGTTTCTGAAGGGAGAGTTTCTGAGCTCAATTTCTCTGTCATTTGATTAAAATCTTGTTAGAAGTTTTCTAGAATTAGCATTTTACTTGTTTACATGAAGTAATATGAGCCGTGCTCCTGAAGGAGTTATGCACAGTCTTTTTGTTCTTGTTGGTTTCTTTCATAGTCTTGTGATTGAAGTTTGAAATAAATTTATAATCATTTTCTTATAAAAGTCTTAATTTCTGGGTGGTTATCCCTCACTGTAGGTTGAATTCAAAGTTGTTTTTCCTCAACAGTCAGAATACATATACCAATAGCACATTCTCGTGGATCATACTCCATCCTTTATTCTCCAGCATTCTTACCCAGATTCTAAGTAGTAGCGACAAAAGCTGGTGGGTCATTTATGATTTCTAGTCAGTAACATTCCAAATATCTTTTTTTTTGGATCCCTGGTGGTAATTGTTAAAGTGAATACTGTCATTAGCATTATTCATTTCTTCCCAAGATTTGGTAGCTACAATTATTTTCAATTTTAATAAGTTTTAATGGACTCTCTGATTTATTCACCACCATGGCTTCACATCTGTCCCACCTTTTTTCAAATGTGTACCCAGTGAAATGGCTGCATTAAAATGTATAAGTGAGGTTCATTGCAATATTAGTCTCTGAAGTATAATGATCAATGTGTTTGTGTCTTTGGTCAAGGCAAGGCAGGACAGTACTGTTTCCCAGGTTAACAGCAATGACCTTAGCTTTTCTCCTCCAGGTAACAGGCACAAAGTGACTGTCACTGCCAGGATCAACTCCTAGTTTTGTGAGGGCGAGAGAACTCTAGTACCACCTGTTGGAGAAAATGATAGATGCCAGGATGACACTGAAGTTACATGACCATAAATTCAGTCTTGGAGGTTCACATCTATCCACGCACATTCTCTATTTGTTTTGTTTAGAGATCATTTAAATAATATTTTTTCTTTAAATTTTAAAGTAAAATTTTTTAAAAAATTAATTAAATTAAAAAATTGAGTTTTTATTTTACCGTGTATCAGTCATTGTAGGACTGCCATTTAGATTGCAGATTATCTTAGTTCTGATTCTAAAGTTACTTATTGTGGGCTGGGGTGTGGCTCAGTGGTAGAGTGCTTGCCTAGCATGCATGAGGCACTGGGTTCGATCCTTAGCACCACATAAAAACAAAAAATAAAGATATTGTGTTCACCTAAAACTAAAAAAAAAAATTTTTAAATAAAGTTACTTATTGTTATTAACAAAACTCAAGTTTTCAGTTTCATGAAAAAGAATATTATTTTTTTTTCCAAACATAGAAGTATTAAAACAGGACAGGATTATATAAAGTACAATGTTGGAAAGTATAGAAGAATAGCATGTTTTTCAAATGATTTCTAGTGTGGTCATCAGAATTTGAAATACTTGTGATCAACTATGGGCAAGAATTACAAAATGAGAAAATTTGAAGATTTCATTGTAGTTACAAGCTTTAAGCATATTATTTTGTAGGAAAATTTTAAAATATTAGATTAACATTGGGAAAAAGAGAATCTAGTTCAATTCCTACCTTCATTTAATCTAATGAATCAGCAGAACACAGCAAATTTAAAAATCTATTCTTGCCATTAAACCAACAGTTGAAAATACCCACCTATATATGCTATGTTTGCATTTATCTTTTTCAATTACATAAAAATTAGAAGCATTTTAAAAATCTTTTTGGACAATAACTTATTGAATATTAATACATAATGTATTAATACTAATAATAAATTGTAAGCTCTATGATGATAGAGTATTTGTATATTTAGCTATTTTATTTTTGATGTCTTATATTCAATAACTAAGCACTAAGTAAATAGATGAATTAATTTGCCCAACAAATACATTTAAAAGGCTAAATATTTCCCTAATGGATCTCAATTTCAGTGAAAGTCACCAGTCCTAATGACACTCACCTCCTAGTAATCAAAGCAGTAAAAGGATGATAGAGATTAAAGATGTTGGTGTACTAGGAAATATATGCTTGAAAATTTGTTCAGCGTGATTTTGGAAAATGGACTTAATTATGAGTGATAGAGTATAAGCTATGTGAGGAAAATATAATTTTGACCTGGTCTCTGTTTTATCTTTTTCATGCCTCTGATCAAAAGACCCAACAAGAACAACAGAGGAGGAAAAGTTTACTTGGGACTCATGGTTATAGAGGTCTCAGTCCATAGATAGCTGACTCCATTGCTCTGGGCAAAACAACATGGTGGGAGTGTGTGGCAGAGGAAAGCAACTCAGAACATGGCACTAGGAAGCAGAGAAAGGTCTCTGCTCATGAAGGATAAAATATATGCCCCACCCCAGAGACCTACCTTGTCCAGCTACACCCTACCTGTCTACACTTACCATGCAGTTAATCCATTTAAGTGAATCAATGTATAGATTAGTTTAAGGTTCTCATAACCCAATTATTTCACTTGTAAATTTCTTGCATTGTCTCACACATGAGCTTTTGGAAGACATTGCATATCTAAACCATAATAGTCTCTTGTTTCTAGGCAATGGACTCTACTAGGGAGAAAGTGTTATTTATTTAATAAATATTAAATCTGATGAATTGTATCACATATATGTGAAGAAAGATGGTTTTAGGTTGAAATGGGAAAGCAGAGAGATATTTATTCCCTGTTGTTTTTATAACGAATTTCCACAAACCTCTCAGCTTAAGCTAATAGCAACACACTCTTTCATTTCTGTGATTAGAGAGAGGTTAGATCCAGGTCTCACTGGAAGAACCTCCAGGTATTCATAGGACTGGGTTCATTCTGAAAGCTTCAAGAGAGAAGCCTTCTAGCCTCTTTCAGATTTTGAAGGCTGCTAGTGTTCCTTGGCTCATGGCACCACATGGCGGCAACCTTTGTAATCATCATCTTGCCAATTTTTGCTTAAAGACCCTCCTGATTCACTTTCCTTTGTTATCTAACTGGGCTCCAGGATGATCCTGTCTTAAAACCTTTAATCTAACCTCCCCTCTCTCTACAGAGTTAGGTGATAAATTCACAACTTCTTAGGATTAGAATTTGCACATACTTCAAGGGCCATTATTTTCCCTATCAAAGAAGACACATGATCCACCATGAAGCTAAGAGATTTAGCTCTAAATATTAAATCTCTCTCAGCCAGTGACCATAGCTATGTCTAGGAATGCATATGGTACAACTATGGGATTGAATTCATTTGGCTTATACAACCAAATTAAAAGTAGGGATGATGTTGAATTTTATAATTAAAATTAACACAACAAATAAGTGAGTTAACTGTCATTGTCATTGTTCAAATAGACTTTTTAGGATAATCAAAGGGGACTTATTTTAGGTTAAAGGGATGGACTAGAAGATCAATATAAAATTTTACATCCATTTATTTCTTTGTTTTATTGTTAATTTATAAGATTTACAAGTAACAACCAATTTGGTTAAAAAAAAGACATTACTTTGTGGAACTGATCTCATTGGTTACTATAAAGTGATTTTTTTCTTTATGACATGGTTAGTTGTTAAAATACATCATTTGGAATATTGGGTATGGCAATGTTGCTTTCTAAGTTACATGTTAATACTAAAAGAACTTACCCAAGTGATTTGGCCACCTGTAACTACAGAAAGTATGACTTCACCCTCTGATTTTCAAAATTCTAATTTTAAATTTAATATGATTTTATTAAATATTATCTGTGTAGTATATTATCTGCAAAGCTTGTTATAAGTTTTGTGGGGGATCTAGAAATGAGAACGTAGCAATTATTATCCCAAGAGAATAAATTTATAAACTGCATGCTTATCCATAAAAAA